AAGAAAATGAACGCTGTCCGCGTCTGCAGAGTACACGTTTCAAACGCCGTGCCCAATGCTTGATACGCGCCTGTCCTGAATGCACTGCGCCCGATGAAACCCCGAATACGGTCACGACTTCTCATGAATCCTGCATCACCACGTCTTCCTGCTGTGCGCTCTCGTCGTCTCCGTCAAACGTCTCCGACCCAGCAGCGTCCTGCTCCGCTTCGTCCTCTACTTCTTCCTCCGCCATCTGAGGGGCTGCTGGCATAGACTGAGGAGGAACCTTGCCCTGCAGTGCCAGCTCGCGGGCGTACATGGTCTTGCCCGTGTTCCAGGCTGCCTTGAACCAATCGGTGAGCCTGTTCTTGCTAACCTGCTCGCGAAGGATATCGTCATCTAAGAGGTTGTCCTTGATGATCGGGTTGCGAAGGTCCTCGGCAGCAAAGCGAACACAAAGCTCTCCATGCGTTCCTCCAGCGCCTAGAAGGTCCCGAAGGTTCTTGGGCCATAGGGTCCGGATGAAAGAGTTGCCGACTGCAACTTGTTAGTGGTGAACAAACATATGGTACTAGACATCAACTTACTGCACATGGCGGACAAGGCGCGGAATGTCCATGCCATCACTGTGCCTTGCAACACATCGTGGATTTTGGCATCAGGCACCTCCTTTTCATTATTGATCAAAGCCCAGTTGTCCTTGATGCACAATCGCTTCCAGAAAAGCTTTAGCAAGCCATCGCGAGTTGTCCGGTGGATATTGTTCCAGTTGACTGTCAAGACTTTGAAAGCGTAGATGAACTCGTCGTTCCCAAGCAAAGTAACACCTTCCTCGCTATCGTCTGCATTCATGAGCGTGAGAATGTCAACCATGAGCGCAGGGTCGATAACCCTGTGGTGAACCAGAGCCTCGAATCCCTCTTTGAGGATGGTCTGGTGTGCTGGTCGATCCTTCAAACGACCTTGTCCAAACTCGGCCATAAGGAGTTCAACAGCAGAGTCTTCATCCAGAGCTCCGGTAATAATGGGCAGCAACCGCTCGTAAACCTCCTCTTGGATCTTGGTGTACTCGAGCTGTTGATCGATGCTCTGGTACATGGCCTCGCGCATCTTCAGCGCCTTGGGCTTCTCCCTGCGTGGGTCGACTACTGCTTGGTCATCGCCATGCTTTGCCTCCTTCTTGCAGAGCAAGGCAAGCTTGGCCATGGAAAGCTCAACGCGCTGGCACCACGCGTTCGTCTCCTGCTTCGAGCCAGCCTCAAAGAGAGCTTCAGCAGCAGTTTCGTAGTCTTTCTCGCCGCAGACTTCATTGATCCATGCGAGCCTGACGCGCGACGGCTCGGCTCGCAGGAACTTTGTGAGTGCCGCTTGGTTGAGATACTCCTTCATGAAGAGTTGTCCTGCTTGGTTTTCGTTGATGTACTTTGAGTAGAACGCTCCAGCCCAGTCATCACCGTAGACCTCGAAGTAGCGCGCAATGCGCTCTTTTATCCGGTTCAGCTTTACTGTGCTTTCCGCTTGCTCCATCTTACTGCGGGTGTTCGCCTTTTCCGTCTCGAGCCAGTTGGACTCTTCCCAGATCAGATTGACGAGTGTCGACATGTCGTGATATTGCTCGGCCAGTTCCATTCCTTCAGTAGGGAGTCCAATCTCCATCAAACCCATGATGTGTGATGGTCGGACGTTGTTGTTCCATTCATCCTTGAGGCTGCGGCCCATGGCTCGTGTCTTCTCATCGCTCTGGGCGAGTGCCCACTCAAAGCGTTCAATGTGAGTTTGACATCCAAGCTTTACCAAGCGAGGGTTGTCCTTGCCGATCTTCTGTGCCAGGAGTTCTTGGTAGCCTTCCTCGTAGTTGTCCACTGCAAGGTTGCGGCCAACGTCTATGAGGCTTCGAATCGAGCTGACAATGTTGTGAGACGACGTCCAGAACGGAGGTAGCATATCGTAGCCATAGTCCGGTTTGAGGATGCTGTCGTCTAGACAATCAGGGTCGAGACCGTATACTTCCACATTTGCTTGGCGGAACTCGAAAGCTGTTTCCAAAGCGACAAGCATGACATCCGTGCCTTCACTGAGCCTCTGCATGATGGACGGTGTTTGCTTTAGTCCCTCTTTCATATAGAAGGTCCTCAGGTAGAACCAGCCCCAAGGTATCAGCGTGTGAAGGCTGTCAACGTCCTTAACGAAGAATTGTCGAATAGTGTCGTTCTCGCCTAACTCAGAATCGAGGCCGCTCTTGTAGCGCTCGTTCAAGGCTCTGATAATGTCGCTCATGAGAATCTTCTCTGGGTAGGTATCCGGGTGTGCTTGTTGGTCCTGCAGCTTGTCTTGGTACCAGAGCCAGAGCTTGTGTGCAGCCGCGAGCTTCTCGGCATGCCACAATAGCCGCCACCTTGTCTGGAAAGATATGGGGGGATAATCGGTTTGTAGTTGAGTGATCAGGGTACGGAGGGCGAAGGAGCGCTGCTGGAATTGGTCGTCCAAGTTCGAAACTCCCTTCTCCAAGTAGTCGTACGAGGAGCTCAAGATGCCGGCACTGATAGCAAGTGCAGCTTCCGCAGTCTCCTCCTCTGCGAACGCAAAGCGTGATTTGACAGAGAAGTCTATGATGTTGGAGGGAATGGTACTGAAGAAGGTGGCCTGCTCGAGTTTGCTGCGTGCGGTCACTTTCACGCGCTCTCTATCCTGATCGTCTGTGGTAGGAGGCAATGCGCTGATCTGTAAAAGGCCGAATTGCTGGACGAAGACGAGAGCAGTCGACTTCTTGTCCTTCCGTATCGCGGTCTCCAGGGCAGTGCCTGCAAGAGTCACTTCTGGGCGGAAATATACGGTGTCCTGGAAGGGTAAACTAGAACGACCTGAGTCTGCGAGCAGTTGTGCCTCTGGGCTCTCCTCTGGTTGAGCGAGGGATGCGACAAAGACTGCTCCTGGGAACTGGACGTAGGCTGTGTGTCCAGGTTGTGGCAGGAGAAGCGTTCCGGTCGGCTCCTTGGTAAGCTGCGGCTGATGAAAGTTGCGGACTGGTATCGCCCTGCTAATGGTACCGGCTGTCCTCGACAGATCCACCTCCACGAGGAAGTAGTCCATTGAGTCTCGACCAGACAGTGCTACCAAAACCAGAAGGTTGACAGCATCCTGACCCTGTTGTTGTTCCATAATGGCAAAATCCAGCACGTGGACATCCTGCTGGTTGCGTACTTCTGGAACGGTATCTGTTTGAACTGCCGACAGGATCGCATCGTATACGTCTACGTCTCGTTGGTGGCTGTTCTGTCCTGACCAGCTCAAGTCCCAGGTCTGAAAGAGGCCGTTTCGCGTCGCCGAGATGACTTCCATGTGGCCCTTCGATTGCGATGTCCGGGCCTTGACGGAAGCGATGGTCTTCCGGATGGATCCTCCGAGAAGGCCTTTGAAGCTGAAGAAGCTGCCTCCTGAGCCATTTGGTGCGCTCAAGACTGTTGTCGCAACGCTTGGTCGACCCTGGGAATCGCGCAGGGTCAGCTGAGCGAGTCTGCCGCTGCTGAAAACCAGGACATAGCCCGCGTGCTCGACATCGACCAGGCCGGTTATGGTCTCCCCAGAGTATAGCTTCACAAAGCCATCCACCCCTTGCTGGCGCTGGGGGTATAGGCTTCGAGTGTCTGCGCTGTCGATGTTCTCCCAGAAGCTGATCTTGCCTGTCGAAGGCGCGAGCGCGACGATGCCGTAGTCGTTGGTGGGGCCGTTGCGGACGATAGCGCCGAGCGGTAGAGGTTCAGTTGGTCTAAGGCCGAAGTTCAGGTTTAGAGAGACGACCTTTGAAGGGCCGTTCGGGGCGCTGTAGTCCCAGACGAGGGCTCGATCTGATGTCAGGGCAAGCGCGAGGCCGGCGGAGGGAAGGGCGGTGGCATATATGGGAGCTAGAGATGTGTGTCAGCAGGCGCGCATTACGCTGGATGACGATGTGTATGCCGTACTCGATGGGCGGAGGAGCGCTGACGGGAAGCCAGGCAGTTTCTTGACACTGTAGTTTGCGTTCTTGGTCTACATTCTCATATTAGCAGTGCCATCTCGCGTAGACGTGTATCTACTCACAAGATACGTGCCCGTGTCCTCCTTGGGCGCGCGCTTCGGTGCCGTCTTCTTCTCCCGAATGCTCAAGGGCATGTCAACCACAACGACTGAGTGGTCGACACTCTGTACCGCGTGACCATTTGTCGAGGCACTTCCGTTTCCGTTGATGTGGGCGTCGGCCGGGTCCTTGAAGGTCGCGTCGTTGAGTTTGCTGCGCTTTCTGCTTCGCAGGCTCTCGGATTCCATCCGCGGTCTTCGTCGGGGGTTGCGCAAAGAGCTGCGCGCGCTCGCGATGGACGCCTCGGGCGAAAACATGATGCGAGAGTTTGGAGATGGCGGTTGAAAACGCGAAGGAGCGCGCCGGTGATGATGTTGCTCGCTGAGTTGTTCTGTTTTGGCAGGGATTCAACCAACGCTAGCGCCCGGAGTTTGGAGCCAGCTCCAGGGCTGCTAGTGAGTCGCCAGGCACGCACCATCATCTAACAATTCACTGCACTACGCCCGTACTTTACCAAGGTACTAACAACAGATCTTATATACACGAGTGAATCAGCGCAACCGCTTGGTTATTCTTTGGATCTGCTATATCATCACACAATTTTGCTCGCAATCTACCATACTGTCTATTCAGATGAGAGCGCCATCTTCCTCGAGTCACATCAAGCAAAAGAGTCAAGTGGTTTGTGTTCGTGTTTCATTTATCATTTATCATACTCGTAACAGTTGTCAGAAAACGCCATTGTAGTCAACTTCCGACCATGCATGCCCGTGTGAACACGCATGGCCGTACTAGAGAACGTAATACTTTCCAGAGAAACATGGTACATGTGTGAGCATATCGGTCTGAAAAGACGACGATATCTGCTCTGTCAAATTGTTCGGGGCAAGCGATGGCTTCCCACATGCCGACTAGCCAGTCGACACGCAGCCATGCCACTATCCGTGGGCTCCATGCTCAGCCTTTACATCTTCTTGTCGTGTTCCTCCTCAGCGATGCTGTTCTCCGTCGAGGTGGTACTCTGCTTCTCGAGCTCTTCACCAAGAGGGCCGTGAATCTCTTCCTCGAAGACGGGCTCGGTCTCGATGGTCTCGAACTTGGTCTTGAAGTCCTTCATGTTGTGGGTGGACGAATTGCTTCGACGGCGGGCGTAGGCCATATTGGGCCTGATATCTTCGACCTCGTCACCAGCGGCGCCCCTAAGACAATTTTGTCAGTCATGGGTTCTATGTTACAACCACTCATGAAGGAAGAGCTGTCTCGCGAGCTGCGCCTGTCTCTCGAGCGGATAGTAAGGAAGCAGGTAGACTGTACTCACCAATTGCCCTTGCCGCTGCCACCCTTCTTTGTCTTGGTCGGGTCGGTGTCGGCATGGCCGGATTTGGCGAAGTATTTGGGAAGTCGCGTCTCACGCTCGGCAGTGCCATCAGCAATGCCAGCGTGGTCGCGGTCGGTGAACTTGTGAGAGCGAGTCACTTCGGATGTCAGTATGATGTACGAACGAGCTTGGGTTGCTCCAGAGCCTCCTGCCGTCTTACGCCGAGGAGCCATTGAGGTCATATCGACCTCAGAGACTCAATGCAAAGAAGGCAAGAGCGTCAGTAGACAGGATAAAAGGCAGCACTTACTGTTTGATGTCTTGAGTCGATGGATTGACTAGAGGTTGTTTGTGATGTGATGGAAGAAAGTCAGAATGGATTGAAGTATCCTGCAACGGCGGGCTCGGAGCTACTGTGACTGTAAGAAGCTCAAGCGGGTCAGTACATGGTCTCGTGATGGGAGCTTTGACCCGATGGCGTCGTCTTGCGTGAAGCAACGCGGCCAGATGCGTACCTTGCAGATCTGTGGACAAGTGGCAGCAATGTGTTAGTGAAGACGAGGTTAGCAGAGACGATGGTGGCTGGTTTGATAGAGGAAGGCGCAATGCATCTCACGCGACTGGCGTTGGAAGGCGGGGAAGCTGGGAGGAGCTCCTGCCTTTATATCGCAACCAAGATGGGCCCTGGAACGACGCGCCTCTAGAAGATTCGCCCTCAGCTGCCCAGCTCCGGCTACTGCAATTATGCTCATAGCTTCTACCTGTAAAAAGTAACTGGATACACATTGTTGTCGGTCGGATCTCGGTGGCCCTGAGCTTTTGAGGAAGCAACGAGGGGAAGGGTACGTCACTGGTACCTGAATCCCCCCAGCGGTGTCGCGGGCGACGATTCATTGAGACACAGCACCACAGCCATGCGCAAACTTGGTCTATGAGTCAATTGCAGGTCAACGATACTATTGAGGAAGCATAATCTCTAAGATGTGTCTACAACGGCCTCCTGCGTGCCATGGCTTCAGCGCAACGGTGATTACCCCAGATTCTAGATGTTTGTTCCTCGAACGCTAATGCGCTGGACCCACTCGCACATATGCCGCCCTCCCACTTGATCCGGAATCACGTGTTCCGGTCAGCTCGTAATCAGCCCAGGGTGGAATGACCAATCGCCGCGGATTTCTCAGTGATTGCATCAGCAGCGCTTTCTCCGCCTCCGAGGCCGCAGACCAGAAAAGTTTCCCGGGACGCGCCTTTCGTTGAAACACGCCTTTCTTCTCTCACGCTTCTGCACACTGTTCGCAGAGTTCATACCTCGACACACTTTGGTTTTGCAACACCCATCTACCCCTCCATCGACACACAGCGCCACGATACCCCACCATGGCCCCGCGATGCCTTCTGATCGGCACGCCGTCGATTGCGGCGCACCCAGAGCGACTTGACCAAGTTTACGAGATCCACGATCGCAACTCGACTGACCTGCAGATGCTTGACCGTATCGCCGCTGGTCTTGTCAATCTCCCCGCGTCTACATACGATGTTGTTCTCCTCCTCGCCGACGCCGACGGTACCACACGCGAAAGTCACAAGCTATTGGCACGCGATGTCATGAACAAAGTAGTCAGCGCATTGAAGGTTGGGGGAGTTCTTAAGAGCCAGGCAGGCCCCTTTGAAGGCGCAGAGAAGACAGAGGCTATCCTGGCAGGACTGTCAGAGACGGCCGATGGCATGACCAAGCCCGAGCAGGAAGAGCCGGTGTCGATACCGCTGAAGTTCGGCAAGAAGGCAAATGGCGCGAATGGAACGAACGGAACAAATGGCGCAAATGGCACTGTCAACCCGGATGGTTCAGTCCCGCTCAACCTTCGCAAGCGCAACCAGCCTGAGCCCGTCAAGCCAGCAGCAGGTGTGGGCTTCGTCGATTTCAGCGATGATCTTGACGACCCCATCATCACAGGAGAAGATGATGACCTAATTGACGAAGACGACCTCATTACAGAGGCAGACATGGCTCGTCCAGTTCTCCAACGTACGTCAAGTCCTCTTACTACCATAAGAAACCCTGCTAACATGATTCCAGCACTCGAGTGCCAACCTAAGCCCGGCAAGCGACGACGCGCATGCAAAGACTGCACCTGCGGTATGAAGGAGAAACTCGAAGCCGAAGACGCCGCCAAACGTACCTCCGCCGATAAAGCATTGAATTCGCTCAAGTTGGACGCCGACGACCTCGACGAGGTAGACTTCACAGTACAAGGAAAGGTTGGCAGCTGCGGGAATTGCGCACTGGGCGATGCGTTCAGATGTGACGGATGCCCGTACATTGGTCTGCCGGCGTTCAAGCCCGGTGAGGAAGTACGGTTGCTGAACAACGATATTCAGTTGTAGGAGCCGGCGACAGAACGACTAATGCATGGTATGGCGTATGGTGTAGGGTCTTCGACAGTCTGGGATAGATAACGTTGCTACATAGCTTTCTCTGGAGTTTTGGATGATAAATGACGAAATAGATGAAAGGACCATGATATCCTGCTCTCAAATGAATATCCAGTTACACATCCAACCTTGATACCAGTATTCACCTTAGCTAGAATTGAACTACAGATAGCCTCTTCGACTCCACTTCCAGGTTTCTAGGTCATGTTCAGTCGTTGAGTGACAATTCAAGCTTCAAGGCCGTTCGTCCAGGTCCATAGTAATCAGGCCGGCATTCCGCTTGCTGAAATCCACACGACGCATACAATGCTCTAGCAGGTGCACGACTCTCATCCACCCACAAAAAGACCGTACTACAACCCCCCTTCTCCATTTGATGACGAAAGCAATATATCAGAGCTCTACCAAGCCCTCTCCCTCTTTCTTGCTCAACGACACAGAGTTTATGCAGCCAAGCCAATCTCTTCATACGTTGGTAGACGAGGTATCCGATCAGCTTGTCCGCATCATCTGCTTTGAAGATCAAGAGGAGTCCAGTGTTCTTTTTCTTGAGCTCTACGTCGTAGTTGAAATGCTCGATTGCGGGGAAGACTTTTCTTTCCAGTTTGGCTACTTTGTCGGCGATGGAGAGACGAGTTTTCGGTGGGAAAGTAGAGAAGTCTTTGATTGTGAAGCCAGGTGGAGGTTGCGCTGGAGAGTTTGGCTCAGACATGATGCTGCTGGTGAGAGCATTTAGACGTGAAGACGTGAAGACGTGAAGACGTGAAGACGTGAAGACGTGAAGACGTGAAGACGTGAAGACGGGTGTTTGCGACAAGCCCGTGGTAGGCGATTTATACAGGTATCTTAGCCATTTCGCGAAACGGCTACCTGGGCATTCGCAGGTAGGTTCTACAGTCGACAAATGGTGGAGGAGGTAGTCGCTGGGGTCAATTGGATCTTTCTGTGCTCAGGTGGGGCCTCACGTGCTAGCGCGATTGACCACGTGCGCGACCTCGCGTCGCTCTTGCAAGCCATGGACTTAGCACGACTTCCTAAATTCCCCATACTCTGATCCGACCGAATCAACATGGGCCTTCGCCTTCCACTAAAGCCACTGCTACAACCACAAGGGCGGTGAAAAGTCTGGATCTAATCCTTCGACCCTTCCATCCGTTTATTTCACCGTTCTTCATATCGCGAGTCATGCCTGCCAAAAGGAAACGACCGTACTCGAATCTCGATTTTACGCTGCGAAAGGTGTTCAAGAAAGCAAGCTTCCGGTATCTTACTCTTCTCATGATGGCTTGCGTTTACTAAAGTTCTTTACAGACCATTACAACGAGAGGTTGTCACGGCTACGTTGGAGGGTGAAGATGTCTTCCTGCAGGCAGCGACCTCTTTTGGAAAGAGTTTATGCTATCAGCTCCCGGCAGTAGTCGACTTTGGCAGTGGGTTCAAATCAACATAGAGCCGCCATCGTCGCTAATCTTGCTAGTCACTATTGTGATATCTCCCTTGCTGGCCTTGATGGTATGTCTCCACGCTATCTCTCTCTAGAATCAATGCTCATTAGTCACCAGAACAACCAAGTTGCCTCTCTGCGCAATGCCAACATCAGAGTCGAGACGATCAACAGCACCACGCCACAGGTAGACAAAAAGAGGATCATAGCTGACCTTCAATGCGGTCATCCCCTAACTCGCCTGCTCTACGTAACACCAGAGTTCTGTCAGGGCGACAACTTCCGCAAGATCCTTCGAGTCATCCACTCTCAAGGAGAACTGGCTCGCATCGCTGTCGATGAAGCCCATTGTGTCAGCGAATGGGGACACGACTTCCGCCCTTCATTCCAGCAACTGTCATTCTTCAAGAAGGAGTTTCCCGATGTACCGGTCATATGTCTGACAGCCACTGCAACAGCACGTGTAAGAGACGACATCATAACCACGCTCGCCTTGGACCCAAAGAAGCTGAAGATGTTCCGCATGAGCACCAGCAGACCAAACCTCCACTACGAAGTGCGTTTTAAATCCGACGCAGGAGACCACTACGACGACTTCATCAAATTTCTCAAATCCATCCACGCCCGTCGTGCTGCAAATCCTGAGCGCGCCTCTCAACTAGCATCCCAGAACCAGCGCTCAGACAACGTCCCAGGTATCATCTACACGCTATTCCGCAAAGACTGCGAGTCCCTCGCTGCACGTCTCCGTTCAGACGGCATAGGCGCAAAACCTTACCACGCCGGCCTCTCCGTCTCGGACCGTGCAGACGCGCTATCAGGCTGGGTAGCCAACAAAGCCGGGTACGACGTTGTAGTCGCAACCACAGCCTTCGGCATGGGCATCGACAAAGAAAACGTACGTTTCGTAGTACACTGGCAGATCCCCAAATCCTTCGAAGGTTTCTACCAAGAAGCCGGTCGCGCAGGCCGAGACGGCAAAGCATCGATTTGCATCTTATACTACGGCCGCGAAGACCGCGATCGAGCTGCGCATTCGCTGTCGAGGGATATTGCTCGTCAGCCTAAAGCAGGAGCGGGATTACAGGCTCAACAGCAGCAGATGACGCATCGAGCGAAGAGTTTAGAGGCACTAGTGGGTTACTGTGAGACGACGAGTAAATGTCGACATAAGCTCATTGCCAAGTACTTTGCGGATGAGGAGACGCCAGAGTGTGACTTTGCGTGTGATTGGTGTAAGGATGCGGAGGCGTTGGTGAGGAGGAAGGAGGGCGGGTTGGCGAGTGAGGAGTGGTGTAGTACGCAGAGGGAGGCGGGGAGGTATGATATTGATGAGTATGATTGAGGTGCTGTATACACGGGGAACGAGTATGGGGTTTGGACGAGCATTAGTAGGCGTTGGGATATATCAGCATGTTAACATCTGTAGTTCGTTGTATCTCATGGTTCATTCATCGTGACTTCATCTACGGTCTGGCTTACTGCCGCCGACATACATCAACGCTGCCACACGCATCCCTCTGTGGGTATCTACCACCTGCACCACCTCAACGCCACCCCATGCATTCTCATAAGCATCTACAGTCCTCAACAAGCCTCGGCTTCTATCCGACAATCAAAGCCGCGCTGGGCACCATACCCGCCTCCTTGAGCGTCATGCCAAAGTCACTCCGATCGTATATCTTCTTGGGGAAGTTGGTCGTGAAAGTCGACACAGTCATGCCATCCTGCTCCAGCGCATGCGCGACCTCGAACAGCGTAGTCTCAACCGGGAAGTTCTTCATGACCCTTCCACTGGGTGTCTGCAGCGCCAGACGCGCCTCGGTGTATGCGCTCGCAGGCTTGCTGGTAGTAGGACCGGAGGATGTAGCGAGGGGCGCCTGGACAGGAGCGGGAGGAGGAGCCTGACCGGCGCGCTTCGCCTTCTCGATCTCAGCTTTACGCTTGCGCTCCTGCTTGTCGGCTTCGAGCTTGGCTAGGACGCGTTTCCTTGCGTCTTCGTCTGCCTTCTTCTCAGCGCGCTTGGCGGCGGCTTCCTTTAAGCGCTCCTTCTTTTGTAGCTCTTCGCGGAGATCTTGCGACTCCTTTGTGGCCTTCATGCGGATCTGCTCGTTCCTCTTGTGGTCTTCTTTGTCTTGCTCCGACTGCGTTGCGCGCTTGGCGGCGAGCTTCTCGCGTAGTTCTTGGAGGCGCTGGGCCTTTTGTTCTTCTGTGAGGGGCGCGATCTCCTCGGTGGACTCTGAGAACTGCTCGTGGCCGGTCTTCTCGCCGTGGAATTGGGCTTGGTTGACAGAGCGGAATCTCTTGCCGCACTCATCGCAGACGAGCGACTTGGCTTCTTCGCCGGGCTGGAGGGCAGGTGGCTCGTCTGAGGCGCTGGCGGCGGCGGCGGTGGCTTGCTCTTGCTTGATCTCATCGACGGACTTGTCCTGGTTGGTCTCGAGCCAATCGATGGCAGACTGGAGGCCACCGGTGGCTTTGACGGCGAGCTCTGCGCGTTCGCGGGGGAAGCCCATGTCGATGAGGGTATCTAGATCTCCGGCCATGGTGAATGCGGCGGTGGTGACGGTCGTATATGGGAAGTTGTGGGTTGTTCGGTGATGGAGCCGGGCGTTTGGATCGCGCAGGTTGTAGTTTAGTAGCGGATCAAAGTGAGAAGTGAGTGTAGTGGAGGAGTCTAGCTTTATACGTGGGATGTGGGTGTAAGGCGGTAGCGGTGGAACCACAGAGAAGGTGGACCGTGGATGAGGCGCGTGAGATCCTCGGATGGTTGTCTTGGTACAGTGATCTTCACTATGAATATGTTTGTTGGCTACGTCTGTCACTGCAGCCTATTTCCGCGAGAGGAGTGATGGTTGTCGTCGCCTTGGGAGTGTCTACGTGGGTGGGCACTAGAGGCAGCTCGCGATCGAGAATCAAGAGGCGTCGCTGCACGTCATAGCAACTTGTCCTTACCATCTGCCTTCCTCTCCCTACTATCCGCACCCACCCCAATCCACACCCGCTGCGATACCCACACCGTTTGCGCACCCCATCTCCAGATTACTCAGCTTCTCAATACATTATACGCGCCCGTCTCTCTGCCCCTGGTTCCCGAGGTTCGTCGCGACCCTGCCTAGGTACCCCGTAACCGCGGATCCGATTACCAACCCTGGAAGACACGACCACCACCCCATACCCGCAACCCACACGCGCCCGCCATGTCCGTCGAGCTCGACCCCGTAGAGCTTGGTTTCAAGCGTAAGCTTCGTTCGTGGCATTGAGCCGGCAAACATACTGAGATGGCTAGGACCCTTCCAGCACGAGGTGTCGCAGACCCTCCGCTTGAAGAACCCGCACTCTGACCCCATTGCTTTCAAGGTAAGCACGCTTCTCGTGGATTTCTGCGAGGTCATGTGGAATTTGGACATGCAGCTGACACACATAAGGTGAAAACAACGGCTCCCAAGCAGTACGGCGCCCGCGATACCTCTCCCCACAACCACTGATGACGGGTTTAGATACTGTGTAAGGCCGAACAGCGGACGCATCGAGCCTGGGAAAGATGTTGAAGTTCAGAGTATGCATACCCTCTATGCGCGCACCCACAGGTCTACAGCAAACTAACGCATGCGCCCAGTTCTCCTCCAAGCCATGAAAGAAGACCCACCGCCAGATGCGAAGTGCCGCGACAAGTTCCTCGTGCAATCTGTCCTCGTCACCGCCGACAAGGAGTTCACCAACGTTGGGTCTTTGGTACGTCATAGTATTCGGATATTAGGATTGGATGCGTGCTAATAGTTACTTGTAGTGGTCGCACATCGAGCAGACCGCCAAGTCTTCCATCCAAGAGAAGAAGATCAGAGTCCTCTTCCTCGCACCCGACGATGCCTCCAGCGCAACTCCTGCGAGAACCAACGGCGTTAGCCGCGATTCGATGCTTTCCTCTCCATCACCCGAGGCCGTGACTCCTCAGCGCGGCGTGTCCGACGCTTCTGGCCCTGTCTCCGTTCCCTCGGAGCGCCCATCAGGAAGCAAAGACTTGGGCGAAATCAGGAACGAGACCTACAACCCCGCATCGAGTGGTAATATGGGGTCGAGCTTCAGCTCTGCTGCTGGAACTGTCGCTAGTGCCATGCCATCTTCAAGCGATGTGGAGGCTCAGCTTGCTGAAGCCAAGGCCCAGATTGCGCGATTGACACAGCAGGTCAGCGAGGCCACTGGTCTTCGCCAGCGAAAGACAGGATCCGCCCAAGACTCGAAGCAAGGAGTCGCGACGTCCATGGACACACGGCAAGCCCCCGCTGGCGGTGTGTCTGTCCAGATCACAGCCCTTCTGTGCCTCATCAGCTTCCTGATTGCTTATTTCCTCTTCTGAGCGTCTTCCCACAATACCTGGCCCACGACAGCCAGTGAAGCACCGTGCGCCAACCGCGACCCCGGATCCACCTTGTGCGGAGACGGCGCGAAGTTGGGCGACATCTTTCAACACACGGAGATGAGGAGATAGGGCGGTGGTTTGGCGCTGGACGACAGGGTGGACAGGTACTTTTCTCTTTCATGTGGGTATCTCTTGCTTGGATGGAACTGGGGCTGTTTGTTGGTTACACATACGAAGTGGCAGCTGCTAGGGAGGCATGACCACATTTGTGTGCAAGCGTCCATGTATCAACAGCTACATAATTCGGAGTTGCAAAGTTGCGAAATTGTTTAACAAAAATAATGTCTACGTATATCTGTATTAGCTTGTGCCTTGACCGTGTCGCGTGAGAGGTGGGTGTCTAGTCGCGGCGATGTTCGCAAGCGCACGAGCCAATAGCAAGATGCGACATCTCCGTCATCGCAGTTGTGGGGTTGGGATTTGAGCAGCACAAAGTGCGAGCAAACTTGTGGAGTGACGGTTCCCAACGTCACATGCCTGCAGTTGCGAGACGGTAGATAGTGCCAATCCCGTGGTCAGAACGCACAGTCAAAAGCGGGTCGGAGCATGCCCGAAGTCGCCGCGGGCGAGCGATAGCTGCGAGTGATGACTGGTAAATTTCAAGGCCAAGACAAGATAAAACACGCGCCTTCTCTTTGACTCCGACAAAGCCCTATAATCTCACCCCAAATCAACTCCAGCAGACAAGATGTGTGGCATATTCGCGTGCCATAAGTAAGTCACACCTCTTGCGCGCTCGATAATGTCGAATTGGCTCTCGTTCAGACGTGTTGCGATTGTGTTGGTTAAATACTGACCCTCCAAAAAGGCACCCCGATGTGCAGACCTTTAAACCAACAGCCCTGAAGGTAAGTTTCGACTGTATCCACTGCGTATGAGCATACACTAACGAATTGTAGATGGGAAAGGCCGTTCGGTGCGTGATTCCTCGAAACCCCTCCATTCAGCGACTACACCACGAGAACCTCCATACTGACTAATAGATCAGCCATCGAGGTCCAGATTGGTGTAAGCATCTTTTATGACGCTTTATGCGCCAACAATTACGATAATTGACACTGTACAGCTGGTAACCATGTTGCGAACAACACCAGTGAGTAACTCTGAGAGCACTCAGTCTCACACAGTACTAAAGACAGACAGTCCTGGTTCACGAGCGCTTGAGTATTGTCGGTGTCGGTAAGAAATCACAAGCCATATATTACTTTTGGCGGAAGCTTACGTGTGTCAGAGTCTGGCGCTCAGCCGCTTGTCAACGATGAGGGAACCGTTTCCCTCGCCGTCAACGGCGAGATCTACAACCACCGAATCCTCCGCAAGTCCCTCAAGAACCCGTACAACTTCAAGACACACTCAGATTGCGAGGTCATCATTCCTCTGGTAATATTGGGCACACTTCTTGTATGGGATAGAGGCTGACGCATGGCAGTATCTCGAACATGACATCGATGCTCCCCGGAAACTCGACGGCATGTTCTCTTGGGTCCTTCACGACAAGGCTCAAGATCGTGTCATCGCAGCACGCGACCCGATCGGTATCACTACCTTCTACATGGGCCGATCCAGCACAGCACCAGGCGCGGTTTTCTTCGCTTCCGAGCTGAAATGCTTACACCCCGTCTGCGACAACATCATCTCCTTCCCTCCCGGGCACGTCTACGACTCGAAGACGGATTCGCTCACGCGATACTACGACCCCAAGTGGCTGGTCGAGCCCGAGAACATCCCTACACAACCCGTAAACTACAAGGAATTGAGGGCATCGTTTGAGCGATCAGTGCGGAAACGCATGATGGCGGAAGTTCCCTTTGGTGTACTTCTCTCTGGTGGTCTTGACTCGAGTCTGGTCGCTTCAATTGCGCAGCGGGAAACCCTGCGCTTGAACGAGCTCACAAGGAAGAAGGCTGCGGCATCTTCTGGAAACGCCAGCGAGCAACAGAACCAACTTGTTGGTATCGACGACTCCAACGAGCTTCAGACAGATCTCCTTCTGGGACAGCTCAACTCCTTCTCGATTGGTCTGCCCAACGCACCCGATGCCATCGCTGCGCAGGAGGTAGCCAACTTCCTTGGAACCAAGCACCACACATTCACCTTCACCATTGAGGATGGCCTCAACGCACTCACAGATGTCATCTTCCATCTTGAGACTTTCGACGTAACGACCATCCGCGCCTCAACACCCATGTTCTTGCTGAGCAGAAAGATCAAGGCTATGGGAGTTAAGATGGTGCTCTCAGGAGAAGGAAGTGACGAGATCTTCGGTGGATACCTCTACTTCCACAACGCGCCTGACAAGGCAGCTTTCCACCAAGAATGCATTCGCCGTGTCAAGAACCTCCACCTTGCCGACTGCCTTCGCGCCAACAAGTCAACATCCGCCTGGGGTGTCGAGGCGCGTGTGCCTTTCTTGGACAAGGACTTCCTCAACACCGCCATGAACATCGATCCCGCCGACAAGCTGATTGACCGTGAAGCCGGCCGTATCGAGAAGTACATCCTGCGCAAGGCTTTCGATACCACCGACGAGCCAGAGACGGAACCATACCTCCCTGAGAAGATCCTCTGGAGACAGAAGGAGCAATTCTCCGATGGTGTTGGCTACGGATGGATTGACGCGCTCAAGGACACTGCTGAACTCCACGTTACCGATGAGATGATGAAGAACCCGAAGCCGGAGTGGGGTAACGATATCCCGGATACCAAGGAGGCGTACTGGTACAGGTGTATGTTCGACGAGCACTTCCCCAGCTACTGCGCCGACACCGTCATGCGATGGACGCCTACCTGGAGCAACCAGACGGATCCTTCTGGACGGTAAGTCTTCCCTTTTGAGATCCGATCAATACAAGAGACTAATATGATGTAGTGCCATCGGCGTTCACGAGCAGAAGTACGCTCATGCTAAGTAGACTGTTCTTTCGGTATGAGTGGGCAAGGCTGGTATGGTAGAAACTACGGATCTCATTCTCAGGTCTCTTATGGCGCTTATAGACTGCTTAAGGGGAGATATACCCCACGGGAAATCTGTCAAAGGGTTCGGTCTTTAGCACACTAATGCACCATGTTGCGTGAAATTGATAATCGCAGAGCATGATGCATTTGTTGACGTTCCGAAGAAGTAGCCATGTCTCACGATGTGGGACAAGTTTACGCCAAACAGGTGGTTTATCATTACTTCTGTCATGCATGCAACTCGTTCTATCGAAGTCATACGTTTCCTTGAGCATCTCATCGTAGAGATCACGCGCGCGCTGCGCATGTTCCACGTAGCCTTGAATTTCATTAGGACGAAGTGTATTCAAGGTAAAGGTGTGTATATACAATCGTCTGATTTGCCAGGGGAAGATGGAAGCCGGCTTGGTGCCACTCGCCCACGGCTGGATCAACAAGAAGGTCCCGACAGATGATGTAGGCCTCCTTGCGACTACCAAACTTCCAGAGATCGACTACTCGCAAGTACTCGTTCCTGTACACATCAGACAAGAAAAGACTGAACACCTATCTCCTCCAAGTATACATTGCCATAGAGTTCTGTCAACTTTAGCTTGCATACTTATGTATTCGGCAAAGCACTTGTTCGTTTGTCTCTTTGCATGAGATATGTACATCTGGTCGATGGGGCTGAAGGGGGCGATCATCCTCTGGTAGGGACGACATAGCGCTTGCGCTTTACCCAGGTAGTCGCGTGGGGTGCTCAGGTGCGAATCGTGAGTTGTATCGCACTGCGCGTCTTACGCGAATGAGTTGTAGGCTGATCATGAGTAGACGAAGTGTATTCCCGACAGCTTCACAAAAACAAGTCGCTTCCGGGGGCCACAATGGAGGTGGGTGCGCACTAGGACATGTTGATGTCAAGTTTCAAGATTGATATGCCAAATCTATTCTCATAATACAACATTACCTCGCCGCCGGCGCCCAAACATACGTTCATCTTTTTTTCGACTGGGTATCGTAGACCAGTGATACAAATACATACACACAAACTTTTGGAGCAGATCATACCGTCGCTCTGCGGTAGATATCAAAACGCCAGACGTATCCAATACAGATCATTTTTACAAACACAGCTGAGCGCATCACGCCTCGAGGGCAGAAGATGCCTCGCCGTTGCCGAAAACGCGGAATTGGATGAAGATGGTTATGTCTTCGACCATTGTGCCGAGGGAGCCGATGAGCCAGGGGAGGTTGGTGAGTATGTACTCCTTCTCCTGCGAGTGGAAGATAATCTATGAGATGTTAGTCCTGGTAACTCCAAAAAAGCGTAGAAACGGCTTAGACTTACACCTGCGCCATACGTAGCATTGCCCAAAAGACTCAACATGAAGAAGAGCAGCGACAAGCCCTCGCAAGATTTCTCCCTCTGGTTCTTGATAATCTGAGGAATGCGCGCTCCAAGATAAGCCACCGCGCTTGCGTATCCCAAGATCATAGCGCCAACAGGGTTATCTGTGGTGTCCTCCGTATTATGCTGAGGCTGCGGAACCCATACACCAGTCTTCCACGCGATAGCCCAGCCTGCAGCACCAACGACACAGACACCCACGATGCTCAGCGCATTCTTAACCCACTCGCTTGAGCCATCGCCCACATCCGGAATCGTAGGCAGAGAACTCGCGCGCCGCCTGCGACTAGCCGCGGAATCGCGCCTGTGGCTTCCCGGCAGGCCGACGTTGCTGCTATCGCGTCGGCCCAGCAGGGGCGCCTCAACGCTGTTTGTAGACTGCACGGAGGTCTTGCGCTCGGCGCGGCGCGAGTTCTTCAAGTTGTAGTATACGCATTGCGAGATGAGGACGAGGTCTGCGAAGCAGAAGTAGATTGCGAGGGCGATGACGGTGGGGACGAGACCGGCCCAGAGGGCGCCGGCAAGGTTGGTTATGTCGCCGACGAACCAGACGACGAGGAACGCGAGGGAGATGCCATCAGCGGAGGATGAC